AGGGTTTACTGCCAAGCAGAATTCCATTGTATCCACCCTCAGTATGACCCTGTCATTCATTTCCACTCTGTTTCAGAAAAGAAAGTGTAGAGAGACCAAAGAAATCAAAGGATTATAGCGTACACATCAAAATGTACAAGTTAGCCTTGTGCTAGAAAATGCTTTCTGTACCTGGTCAGTTTTATGGTTTTCCTGAATTCATTAGTAATTGGAGCTTTGTATCCTCCTTTCCTCAATAAGGAGTCTATGGTCTGAATATGGTCCCATCCTGTGGAGAGTTGACCAGATAAAATATCAGTCAAGCACATGTAACAAACACCTTTCATTAAATGCAAAATGACTTTGTAGAGGTCAGCTATCACTGTTACCAAATGCCGTCAAATCTTTTGGTCCTAAAAACAATCACACAGAAGAACTAAGATTTCATCCTTTACAAGAGAAGGGTCATCAGCACATTCCTTAAATTCTAGCTATCCACAGTGTCAAACAACATTGGCTCCTTTATTTTTACATTTGAAGGCAAAGGGTCTAAGGGGCTGACAGAAATTGCTCAGTCATGACTGTAACAAACCATATCTGTTGTACTTTCCTCTAACAGTGGCATCTTTAAAAGGGAGGGAAAAGCCTGTATGCCATTTTGCCAACTCAATAGTATTTAGGACTACCATACTACCTCACAGTAACTGTTGTCCCTTATGGTATCTTCTGTAACCATTCGAGTTTGTGTGCAGTATTCAAGGGTATTTTTATTAGTTCTGACATGGACGGTATATCTGAGGCACTCTATCTTTTACGTTTGCTTTACAAAGTTAATGATACTAGGAGATTAAGACATTTTCTAAAGCAACCCAAATAAATCTTCAGGAGACTGCCTTGAAGACTTTCTGATCTGCGGATTTAATGGTACGAAATTTTGCTATTAATGTATGTCACGTTTATAAGACAAACATGGGAAAACTGAATTACAAATGATTTCTCATGAGAAGAAAAGCTCCCCAAGATAAAAGATTCATTTCAACTAACATGAAACCAGAATTTAGTAGTTGCTAAGAAAGGACAAAATACTTACAGAGTGGAAAGTTATTTTGTGTTACAATGTTGGTTCATATAGTTCTATGCTCTACGTGTGAAATAGGAAAATTCTGTTTAGGAAGTATAGACCAAGCATATAAAACACTAATACTTCATGTTTTCTCAATGCTCTGATCTTAATGGGAAACTTACAATCTTAATATTAGCAGGATGAAGGGCCGGGCGCGGTGGCTCAAGCCTGTAATCCCCAGCACTTTGGGAGGCCGAGGCGGGTGGATCACGAGGTCAAGAGATCGAGACCATCCTGGTCAACACGGTGAAACCCCGTCTCTACTAAAAATACAAAACATTAGCTGGGCATGGTGGCGCGCGCCTGTAATCCCAGCTACTCAGGAAGCTGAGACAGGAGAATTGCCTGAACCCAGGAGGCGGAGGTTGCGGTGAGCCGAGATCACGCCATTGCACTCCAGCCTGGGTAACGAGCGAAACTCCGTCCCAAAAAAAAAAAAAAAATATTAGCAGGATGAGTAATGGCAAGCACCTAAGAATGAAACATTTGATACTTACAATGACAATGAACTATGTGGCTGATTGTCAAACAAAAAGCTTGTTTATGCCACAATGGAATATGGGAAAAGGCATTTCAAATCAGTAGCAAATTGTTGCCTAAAATGAAACCTAACTAATGTAAATTCTGCTTTTTAAAAAATTTACACTTATGGGTTTATGCCATCAAACTTCAATGGAGGGATTCAACTTCTGTGAGTACTTCACCGGCTTGATACAGACATTGCAGTGGCAGTGATGGAAGAGTCATTTCTTATAATTTGACACTGTTCAATTATCAGACATAACTGTAAGGTCAGATAATGCATTTCAATTTGTATATTTGTTTAAATTCTTCACCAGATCATATGAAATAAAGTACAACAATGACCTTGCTCCTTTGCAACCTCCGGTAGGTAGGTGGCGGTGCGTTTTGATCCTTTTTCATTGATGAATTCTATTCTAATGCCATGTACACCCACCTGAAAGAAATTAGCAGTTTTATTAGTACAGTCTTCTTCATAGAATCAGAAAGAAAAGGTTATAATTTAATTTTCAAGAGAATGCAGTTCTTCCTTTCCCCTTGTTTTTAGAAGGACATATCAGTTTTCTGTTTCCAAAGCTCTGACGTTGGATTTGAAGGCCATTACGATGGCCATAGAGACGGTAAATACTGATTTGCATGTGCCCAACATGTACTAGGCTATGATATTGTGGTTGGAAAACCAGAACAACTATTCTGAAGCTGTGTGTAGAATAAGACGGTTGATGGCAAAAATCCTGCCCCCACTCCCAAATTGTAGCTCATGCCAATAAGGAACTAGAGACAAAGGGGACTGACTTCAAAGATATAGCAAACGACCATCCTGTTTTGCAGGTACACTCACCACTTCTGATTAAGTTCCAAAATTTTCGGTGCTGATCCCCGCCCAAACTGTCTACTCCCTTTAAAACCTTAAATTATATGTAGGCAAGCAAACACAATCAGATAAGATTGAAAAATAATTATGAAAACAACCAGATCCTACATCATCACCCAGTGTAGATAGTATTTCTTTATAAATGCATAATAGCTTAGAGTGGGCTAGTGGCAGACCTTCACTGTCCATCTACACCATTGTCTTCACACAGCTCTACTAAATTTAAGAATAAAGATTTCAAATCACTTCACTGTAGTGCATTATTGCTGTCTCCTTATATACTAGCCCAGAGACCACTGTAACTTTTTTATGTAAAACAAGCTTGTGGTGATACCCTTAAAAAGGGCATCTATGTAACTGTGGGCAATTCTTGCTGATTTTTTTTAAATAATGTGCTTTTCCCTTGATTAACATATGATCGAAAGGAATATGTTCTTTCCCCTCATATCTCACATAGAATAGTGTACAGAGCTAAAGATCAAAATTAAAAGTTCTTAACTTCTTTGTAAACATTGATAAAAATGAAATTTCAAAAGCATAATGACCCCATTCTGTTCTCTCAGATCTGTGGTTGCCTCATATCAATGGTTCCCAAGTGGAGGGTCAGGTTGTGCAAGGTACTGGAATGAAGATGTAGGACCAGGTAAACGTTATTACCCAAGATGGAGGCTTCTTTTCAGAGCACGTGAGTAAAGTCATAGCTCTTTATACTTTCTATGTGTATGGATGTAAAGGTCTAGAAGAGGAAAAGGGGTCAATGAAAACTTCTTTTGTTTCTTCTGCCCTCAGCCTCAGATTTTCCAATTTTTTCAGGAATAAAAAGTCCTCTGGGAAAATCCATTTCATTCTTTCCTCAGGTCTTTACACATCCATCCATTGGAGCCTGTCAGGTCTTCTGAAGAATTTATGGTTTTTTTAAAAAATTATTATTAAAGCACATCTCTGGCTATTTCTTCTATCTATTTAATATCAGTATTTTTATGAATCTCTTTCTACTAAAAATGCAACCAGGGCAGATATTTAAAAACGAACACAACACTGCCTCCCATGCCCTGTGGGAAATGACTTTACACAGCTGAGAAGAAATATGAGTGCTTAGCTATCAGACATTTCCAGGATAAAGGATATCCACTAATCTCTCCAGTGCCTGATGAGACAATGACAAATTTGCAACACTTTCTGTATACTGACTTGCTGATCAGTAGCTTTGATGTTTTTTCTTTGACAATATCAGATTCCTCATAATTTGTTTTAAATATATATATATATACAGCATAAGTAATTTATACTCCATCATCCACTGAAGTGAATTTTGAAACTTCAACTCTATTTATCAAAAATCTGTCATGTTAAAATTGAAAAGAATTTTGGTGTTTATTAAGGTGTCTAGTCAAAATTGTGATAGGAAGAATGTCTCCCTATCTGTGAGATGAGAGTGTCAGACAAAATTAATGATATTTAACTGGCATGGGGTGGGAAGGGGAGCTGCAACATTTATCAGAAGTTCAGGAGGTTTCATGCTTCAAGAAATATATTTTGGAAAAAGAACAGCTCCCCAGGTAATTTTTACTCTAATTGAACTAGGTAACCTCTAATAAGCATTCTAGTTCTGACAAACTGTGACTACATATTAAGATTTTAAAACGTGATTTAGGCAAATGGGGGTAATTTAGACACTTAAGTCCTTTATTTACAGGAGTACATCCTGTATTCTTGAACAAAAATGTCAGATTTTTAATGTCTAGTAATTTAACAATTAGAAGAAGCTAAGAATTGTACGGTATGTGAATATCTTAATTAAGCTGTGCGTGTATGGATACAAAGGACACATTGGCCAAAACAAAAATTACTCACAAATAAGACTGCTTTATTTACTCTGCATTTTGAGAAGGTCCCACCATCAAATTTGATAAGAAAAAAACCCCCAAATTCTCCAGTTTTGATTTAGTAACACATTTACAACTTTTAATTATTTTCTGGGTTCCTATGACTCTGAACAATTGAAAGCCACTGTAAATTGAACTGTAAGTATAGTGGTTTTAACGTGACTCCTTTTCATGAACTTTTTTCATGGGTGAGAAATACTCTCCACAAAGCTACAAAGCCAAAACCAGAGTGACTCATTTTTTTCAGCTAGTAGAATCAGGAGAATGCTAATAATGATTTTAACAAAATCAAATCATAGTAGCTTTCTTTCTGTCACCTACTGAGCAACACCATTTTCTTTCCTCCTAGAACCACAAGCCACTAAATAGTCATACTGCACAATCAAAACAGGAGAAGAGGAATATGGCCTGCTGTGGAGAATGACCAATTCTGGCCAACCTGTGGAAATCACTGGCTTTGCAAAGTCAGTCATCTCCAATGAAATGAGCACCAAAACTAATTCCATATTGTTTCAGGGAGGCATCTATCACAGATGCAACTCTAAAATGTAACCCTCATGCATAATAATTGAATCTTCCCTTATACAGATTGGAGAATCCTTTGGCCCAACAACATCCCAAGAGAAAAAGGCTATAGCCGCAGTTATAAACTAAATAAAAGATCATCGAACCAGGGAACTGGGATTCCCCGAAGCAGATCTTTAAAATGCTACCACAGTAACTTTCTCTTTCTAAGGATGGATAAGGAGACAGCGTATGAGAATACCATGTCACCAAACATACCCTTAACTAATCCTGCCACTATCTGAAGTACAGAGAGGTGGGTAAAAACTGGAAATTTGCAAATCTAGCCGTATGGGTCTGCAGGTTATTTTCAAAATTACTAGAAGGTCTATGAAAATAAAAATGCTTTCAAGGTCCATCAACTGTGATAATATTCTTTTAATCAAGACTATACTTTTGCTAAGCAAAGCTATAAATCAACTCCAATGGTAATAAATTAAATGTAGGACTATAGATAAGAGGATATGGAATTAAGCAGAGCTGTATCTGTGTGTGCTGATAGAACATTAAGACCAGTTCAACGGATTCATATTTCATGCTAAAAAAGCCATATTTATTCCGAACCATTCCATAGCAAGTGATTTTTATTAATGCTATTATACAATCTTTTGTTTTTAACATTGTTCAGAATGATTAAATATCAAGATTAATGTTAAGACCAAAAAATGTATCTTGATTATTCTGGGGTTGATTATCCAGTTTAGGGATTATGCATCCCTAGCTCCACCTGGCCTCAGCCCCATCCTCTTTCATCTCTTGTCCATTTCTCTATTTTTTCACTCCTCTATCAGACAGCAGGTGATCACAGAAAAAATAGATACATACAAATTAATCAATTTTGCTACACAGTAAAAGGTTTGGTAGGAGAAGAGATTACAAATAATGGCTAAAATGAAGCTTTGAGACTGTCTGCAGATTTCATTTATCCTTGTTATCTAGTCCCGTGTTAGAAATGTGGCTTCATTTAAAACTATTATCCTCTAATGCAGTGACCCTCAACACAAGAGCATTTTTAAAAAGTACCCTCTCCCATATTATATTCCTTATAATTGCACAGTCAAAACTTAATATTCCCTAGTCTGTCTAATAAGGCAAGTGCTAGCCTTGTAATCCACAAGCAGCACTACAAAAGGGTCTTATTTTTACTTGTGAGCCTTGTCAGCAAGCGAACAATGTGAATATGCTGAAACATTAAAAAGAGTCATCTGGCTAAAAGCATAAATGAGTATAAAATGTGCTGTTTGAGTTGAGTAGCCTCCATGTAAACCTGACAGTTTGAGTCCACAATTACCTCCACAGTCCTGACCCTCAAAGCTTAATCTTCCCCTGATTATATCCTGGCTAACAGAACCACTCTACTTCCTTGGGTGGCATCTTGTTTTAGCAAATACCATGGTCAGTTCCATTCTTCCCTATTTTCAGAACCAAATGCTGGGTTTCCCTGTAATCATATGGCCATGGCTTACTCTACTCATTTTCAGTGAGTTATCTGAATAACATAAAAAATATCGGGAGGTCAAAGAATCGAAAGTTGTATGACATGTCTTTTTGGATGAAATCATTTGGCAAAAATATGCTTTGCAATTAACAAAGCATCCAGTTGCTGGCTATTCACATAAGAGTGACCTGCCAGGCTCAATATGCCAGTCCAATTCAAGTGAATGAAAGGACACTGTTCCTAATGAGAGGAGCTCAGGATGTTTGGCACACCCCCTAACCTTTAGAGGCTGGTATCACAGAATAAATGCATGCTTTCTCACAAAACAACCCTGGGTACCACAGACAGAAACAAACACTGCTTTGGACAGTCCATGGGTCTGACTCAGAGTCTGGTGTTTCTTATATTCCTAGGAGTAAAAAATTGTATGTGCTATATCCCCTAACAGCACAAAACCTACATTGCAGCATGGCCCACTCTTGAACTTACTGCCCCACAGTACCTTCTGTCATGGTCCAGCTTAGCCTTTTGAAAACAGTAACTCTTCCTTTTCCTAGTGAAAGCAAATTCAACATAAAAGAGAAAAATATTTCAAACTTAAGGCTACCCTAAGTTTATTCTCTTGAATAATTCTTTGAGCTACAAAAGTTAAGAATTTAATCATAGAAGCTGATAAGGTTTGCACAGATCCTAATGAACCACTTTTCCCAAATCTGATACTACCAAAAAATATTTAGATGACATATTATCTCGATCTTCCCATCAAATTCCCCAGTTGTTACTCTGTATCACTTCAATCTGCCCATCAATTCGAAAAGCAATTCTAGAGTTCTGAAGGTACACATCTATCTAACATGATCCCTTCATAATTTGGCCAAATTGTAAATTTTTAGAACAGTGTTGCTGTAATTCAGCTTTTGTTTTTGCTCAGTATTATTTACTTTTGTAAACCTCAGAAACTGTAAACATGCATTTTTTTCTGTTTATAAAAGTAGTATGTGTGTCTTACAAAAAAATTCCCTTTAGAGCCAGGTGTAGTGGCTTGAGCATGTAGTCCCAGCTATTGGGGAGGCTGAGGCAGGAGTACCATTTGAAGCCAGGAGTCTGAGACCAGCCTGGACAACAAAGCAAGACCCTGTCTCTAAAAAACAAACAAATAAACAAAACATCCTTTTAGGAAAGCATAAAGGAGAAAATAAAGATGGCCTGTAATCCTAGTACCATCTGCCTAGAGGTAACTCTTATCTTAGTGAAGTAAAAAATACTTTTCTCTTGAACCAACTGAGATACCACCACAGACTATATTTTAGGCTGCTTTTATCCATTATCTGACCAGTTCCTATACCTGTCTTTACTTTCAAATATCCTCTGAGATGGTTTTGGAAGCAGAATACCAGAAACATAAATCAAAAAGGATAACTGATTGCAAAGTCATCACCTGAGCATGACTAACCTTTTAACATACTCTAACACCTCTGCTTCATCATCTGTCTCAGCTGAAGGGTTTTTTCCCCCAGTTGTTACTTTGTAAAAAGATCCCCTTGACCAAAATATATATATGTTGCTCTTCTCTAAAATCCCTACAAATTAGTCACCTTTAGATTAGATATTAGCTCAGTCTCCACGAACCAATTCTTGGCTTTTACAGAGCTTACCAAAAGACCAATTACTGCCAATTTTGATTTATGTAGGAGACTTAGACATTTTGTCTATCAGGAACACAAACCTGCCAATTTATTTCAAAAAAAGCCACTGAACAACAATCGATAATATTTAATACCTGACACACACCCCTAAAATACCTGAACTCTCTAATAGTCACCTCCATAAACTTTTAAGTAAAATTTTAAATAAAGTATGGCTAATGAAAAGATGCTCTGAAAAACTCTGAAGCCAAACATGTTCATATATCTTTTGCAATGAAGGAAACTGTTCTTACTCTAAGGTTTTGCAGAGAACAAGTGACAGCTCAGAGTGTAATTAAGGGGGAAAAAACCCAATTCTCTGTAATGATTAATTATAATGAGCATCCCATAAAAACTTAACATCCTAAAGCTTCCCAAGGAACGTTCAGGCAACACAGGTGACCTTTAAATAAAATGTCTGCTTTCTATCAAAGTTAGAAAAATGCATTCCTTCCATGTTTTAAAAAAGGGAATAAAGGAGTGAATTTACAGACAAGAAAACTCAAGTTATAAAATTTTCTCAAAGCCTAGAGATGTGACTTAGTTTACATTTCAAAGGCTAGTGGGGACAGTGTTGGGGGATGGTTGGGGAAGAAATCACCTCTTAGCAAACATACCTAATATGAAATAATGTTGTTTGCCTAATAAGAAATTAAGAAAAATTAAATTTTATTCAAGTTAGAACTGTACATTGAGTATCTGACTCAATACAGTTTAACTTAGTCTACAAATTTGTTCCTAAAAAATTACATGTGGGTTGAGTTTACATAAATGAATTAATCTTAAAGCAAAGAGGAAAACCATAAAATTCTACAGTGAGTCCTACTGCAAAGTAAAATATTTATTCATAATGTGAATAATTGCTCCCTATTTGCCTAATTTAGATTTAAATATATAATGTTGATTTAACACAGGATGATACAGTAATTAAATGGAGACATTAATGGCTTAGAGCATTTTTCTTCCTTAAGGGAATTCTTTTCATAAAAAGGAAATCTAAAAGGTACAACTTATAAAAAATTGACTATTTTTCACTTTTGTTGCCTACATTTAAGCTGGCAATGGCCAGTTTAAAAGTTAGGGACCTCTTCTTAGGACTTCTAAATGGCAAGTGGTGATTCATTCTCTGGACAATGAAACAGAAGCCATCTTTAAAAAGGGAGTAAGTCACAGAATCACATTCTGTCAGAGTCCAAAGAGATCTTAGGTATCACTTAGTCCAACTTCTTCAGGCTCCTGAAGAAACTGAGGTCCAAAAAGGTCACAGTGCTGGGCAGTGGCAGACAGGAACAGAACCCAGGTCTCCTTATTCCCAGAATTCAGCACTCTTTTAATTAAATGCTGAGGATACACACACACATACAGACAAACCATACATGAAAGAATAGGATATAACAGAACTACTAGCGAAGGGGCAAGGAGTTTATGGACTACGGGGGGAGCAGCAGGCTAACTCCCTCCAACCGGTAAACATGCTGCAAGTAAAGCTGAAGGCAACTTGAGACAGCCTGAGAAGGGACTAATAAGCAGCCCATTTTGCTAAGGGAACCAACAGCTAATGGAAATTTGTATGCATTAAATCACCTTCTAGGAAGTTACTTTACTTTGTACAGCTTGCTTCCCCGCTAGGCTTCTTATACACTGACTTGTTGATGCACAGCAAATTCTTTCTAGATGGCCAGGAAGCCTGAAGCCTTCCTTTCCCAATGCTCCACAGCACTTAAAAAANAAAAAAAAAAAAAAAAAAAAACAAACAAACAAAAAAAAACATTTAAAGTAGAGCATCAAGAAAGGACTAATCATAATGACAGTGACATCTTATACAAAAATCTCAACGTCCCTGGGAAAATATGTACTGTGAAAAGCATTTTCCTGGATATATGAAGCCCGTATTTCTTTTTAGGTTAGAAGAGAGACAAAATATGATATATATTATAGTTGGGGCAAACTAACCAAGAGGGGAAACAGAACATATACAACTAGAAGTCATTTCACTGGGTGACTTCATGAGTCATGCTTACCATCTGTGTATGAAAAGGAACTCTGTTTTCAGTGGCACATTAAGAGGAGCTAAAAAATGTAAACCTTTAAGAGGGGAATGAGAGTGAAAAGAACATTAACTTCTAAAATATGTGGGAGATAATGACGGTAGCCAATTTATTCATCTCATCTGTTTATTCTCATGAAGGCTGTTACAAAAGCACCCTATTATTAACTGCAACTGAACACGTCATAATTGAGCTGTGATCACTCAAGAGGTGTGCTTTGGAGGTTGCTTTTAAAGTGAAACACAGCTTTCTGAGTACCAGGAGTCCAACAAGGCTCAAGTATAATGACAGATGCTTTGGTACTTAAGGGACAGAGTGACATTGGGGGCCTGAGGTATAGCTTTATAGTCTAGGGACAGATTTTTGGCATCATACAAGAACTGTGCTGGCCAGCCCCACCCAGCATGGGTTGATTCCATGTAAGTATTGTGTGCTACAACAGAGCAGTCTGTCTTAGGATCAAATGTATTGCCCAGGTGGCAGTTGTATAGACAAAGTGAGATACCAGTGATCCAGGGAGCCAGATATAGGAAAAATGACTAATGGTTTGTGAAAATGTCATTGATCTTTTGAAATCAGATCTAAGGAGTTACTTTAGAATACAGAGAATATTTTTACTTCATGCCTCAAATGATCTTGTCTCTAAAGCACAGAAGTAAAAGATGCTTGATTACAATTTAGAAAATATTTTGACTTCTGTCAGCAAATTGCTACATTAGCTTCTACAAAATCACTGGTAGCATACTTGCTATACAAATTCTTCTACAAACAAAACGTTTATTCATTTACATCATCCTGAAAATGAGCAGCTATGAGGTGACACACATAGAATCAGCCCTCAAGTCAAGCTCCAGTCCATTGTAATGTCTGGTTTTATAACCTTTCAGATTTTTAAAAAGGAAACATGGCTCCTAAAAGTTTAACTCTACAAGTTCCAGGCTATGTCATTTTGGCAGGCTCCAACATGCTACATGAGTTTTTCTTTCTGTATAAAGCACCATGTCTGTCAATCACCCTGTCATTCAGATTTAAGAGAATGCTGTCAACTGAAGAACACAGAACAATGGTGATGAGTTTCTGTGTTCAAACACAAGGCATATCATGTCAGATTTCTCTAGGGAAGCAATTTTCCTTATTTAACAACCATCTTAGCCTTGCAGGTAGATATTCCAATTTATCAGTTAATGAAATTTCTCCCGAAATTATTAACTCTTCATCCTTCTCATACCTACTAGGGCAATAAGTAGATCATGATGTGGGCAGTGATCAGTGATTCTTGGAAAGGTGTGGCCACTGCTCTAATATGTCCTTACTACCTTTTGTGGATGGCTGTTATTTTTAATGAATACCCAGATTCCTCCAGAGGCTGCCTATAAACACTTACTTTAAATGTTATAATTACGATTCTGAGGAAATACAACATAAGGAAGCATTGTTGATCAGTCTATCAATTCAATATTGACTTGAAATTAATTACATCTAGTTGTAAACCCATTTATCAAACATCCCTCACATTATCAAACAGAAGCACTCTAGCTCCTAAAACAAGCGCTAAAGTAAATCCTACTTTCCTAATAACTATCAATATAAAATTAGAGACATGTTATCAAAAGAAAGTTCCCAAATAGACTGAGTTAAAAACCCTGAGTGAAAAAGACAGTAAGATGGTAGCCAGATTCATGGCAATTCATTTGTTTCCTGATCATCTGAAAATTAGGTAGCTATTACCACTGGTCATGGTCACATTCCTCATCCTCATGACCACAGGGATGTTTGTCTTGTCAGTGAAGGTATGTACCTCTGTGCTTTGGGGCTTCTAGACTTTGCCCTCTTCCTGCTTTGATCTGGGAATTTTCATCCATTTAATTAGGAATTCCACTGCAGTAACCAGTGGGGGTCAACTCTCAAACTGTACTTCCACCAGAAAAGCGCTATGTTAGAAGCTTCTGTTTGTATAAAACATGCTCATTATCTATCTTTGACTTTAAAATTCTGTATTATAATTCCATAATAATCAATCTCCTTGTTTTCCTCTGTGGCATAAACATACACAGGACTTCACATTTCAGGTTAAAATTGCATACTTATGGTGAATAGGATATTTAATTGTTGGACGAGAAGTTGTAGCTATTAGTGTGAAATTTCTTGTGAAGCATATACTTTCATAAGATACGCTGGCTTCTCAAAAAGGAAATTCAAAATATAATTAACTTACACAAAGATAAACCATAAACAAAGACTTCTCAATCTTTTAAATAATAATTGTATATTCAATATGATTTCAGTTATGTAACCAAATATGCAGATTTATTGATACAAAGACAGATAAAGAATGGGAAAAACATTTTTAAAAGACTTAGTATAAAAAAGATAATGGAAAGAAATATTCCAAAATGTTAACAGTAGTTATTCTCAGAATGATGTAATTATAAATGACTTACATTTCTCTCACTATATTTTTTTAATTAAAAAAAATTTCTTCTTTGATAAATTAAAATTACTAATAAGAATAGAGTATATGAAGTTTATTTTCCATTTTTATTGTAGTAAAATACACATAACATAAAATTTGCAATTTTAACAATTTTAAAGCGTACAATTCAGTGGTATTAAATACATTCACCATGTTGTACAACCACGATCTAGTTCCAGAACTTTCCCATCACTCCAAAAGGCAACACTGTACCCATTAAGTAGTCACTTCCCATTTACCCCTCACCCTTGCCCCTAGCAACAATCTGCTTTCTATCTCTATGGATTTGCTCATTCTGGATATCTCAAATAAATGGAATCATACTGAATGTGGCTATGTTTCACTTCTTTCAGTTAGCATAATGTGTTCATGGTTCATTCATGTTGCAGCATGTAGTTCATTTCTTTTTATGGCTGAGTAATAATTGCATGAATATACCACATTCTATTCATCCATTCATTTGTTGATAAACATTTGGGTTGTTTCTACCTTGTGGCTATTATGAACAGTACCAGTATGAACATTCATGTACAATTTTTTGTTTCAACACTTCTTTTCAATTCTTTTGGGTATATACCTAGAAGTGAAATTGTGTCAACATATAATTTTTAATGCCTTTAATTCTGTTTTGGCATTCTGTGTTTAAAGTAGTAATGTTTTTTCAGAATCGTTAGGGATAGCCCTCAGAATATCATCCCTACAATACTATTACTCCATTTTCAATCACTGAGTAAGGTACATTTGTTTTAAGACCAAATCCCATTATTGTTCTTAAAAATATAATTTCTACCTTTACTCTTTGTACCCAAATTTGTCTTCTGCCAAATACTTGAAACAATGATGAACTAACTGAAAAGGACAAGCTTTTCCTCTTAGCATAGTCATTCTAACAATAACTAATTCACTTTCAAGTGCTTGTATATTAAAAGTACAAAAATGTATATTTTTTTGCTTCAACAGGAAAGTAATACTTAATAGAAATTAATATTTAATTCCCTAAAATATATTAAATACACAATGCCAAGTAGGAACAATATAGAATCTTCTAGAAATTCAGGCTAGTAGCTGGTGACAAAAGAGGATAAATATGCCTTGAAAGAGTATACAGTAGAATACACAGTACTACTTCATAAGTATATAGTAGAGTACACAGTACTACTTTCCCACTCTTCTAACAAACAAAAAGCTGACATATCTTATGGATATAATAGCCCAATAATATCAAGGTTAATTTTAGCTACAGAACGGTGCTTCAAGTGGGCTAAAGATGATGATGGTGTACTCGGTGCTTAACCATCCCTATGTAACAGCTGTTGGATTCTTCCCTTTTTCCTTCCTCCAAAACACATGGACACACATTTATGTAATACTAGTACGTTCATGTTTGTGACATACACACATGCACACACATAGAAACACACATGCCAGAACTGTACTTCCAACTCAGTAGCTGCAAGAGTAGAAGTGTTCTTGCAGCTTGCTCATCCCCCTTAGATCTCAGGCTTTTCCCATAAAATCACTCCCACCCCCACTACTACATACACAACACCCTGCAATCCAGAAAGCAAAAGTAAATCTGGCTGCGGAAGAAGAAACAGCTGCCTTAAAGCAGTAAAAGAACCATCCAAATTATAAAATATGTTAATAAGTAAGGAACATGATTTGGGGCCACTTAAAAATAAAGTACTAGGGAATATTTCTATAATATTTGTAGACTTCTCTTTAAGAAAAATCAAATAAGAGCAACAAACTTATAGAAATAATAACTTAGAAATTCCAAGTTTACAAAAGGTTTTCCACATTCTAACTTTGCTGGGAACAACAGTATAAATTTATTTCTTCTTTTGCAAAAATCGTAAGATGTATTCATATTCTGATAATACTCCAGAAAATCTTATCACAAAACCCAGAGGGGACTCTTGCATTGTACTCTCTGTAGAAAAGATTTTTTTAATGATACTCCCCCAAAATTTTTAAATAGCTCTGGTATAACAACAATAATTTATATCATAGAGATTTTTTTTCAAATGAAGAACATTATGTCTTATTCTGTATATTAGAAAACGGAATTGCAGTGGAGTAAGTAAATTGTTCAAAGTCTCACAAGGAATCAGGGCAAATCCAAAATTAAATTCAAGTCTAATAAACTGTGAAGAGAGTGATCTATCCCCAAGGCAGAACAGTTTAGTCACTATGGGGGATGGTCATCTAAAACAGCAGTAGAATTAAAATCTGTCATAAGGATACAATAATGCCATTTATGAGTGTATGTGAGACAGAATACTGTATGTATCACTGAGTTCCTATTGTTTCATTCTCATAGCACTTATGTCTTCATACTTTCTATACACATTTACTCTGCTACTAAATTGTGAGATGCTTCATGGTGGGAACCGAATCTTACCACTTTTGTATATGTAGCACATTGCCTGGAATACAACAGGCATTCAGTAATATGGGCGTTCTTGTGTTAAAATTTCATAGACCCATAGACCCACACTCAACATCTCCTCCCAGCCACCAAAACAAATCATGAGAATCTTTGAACTTCACTAACAATGTTAGCCAACCCCACATGCTAAAGAAGAATACAATTATGATCATTATAAGCTACTCTAATAATAGCAATACACAGAGATACCCTAGATATAACCTTATTTGTTAGGGTGTTTAAATGTATAAATTAATGTAGCCAAGAATGAATTCACATTATTTAACTCTAGTTAATCAGTACCTTGTTACTATCACAAGCTGATTCTGCCAAATGGTATATTATCCTAACTAACTATTTCTTCTTGTTTCTGAGATGTATCCTCTGACCAACTAGTTACATAGTTGGTGGTGGTTATACCAGAGTGCACCAAAATGAAAATAAGAGTGGTTTCTAAGATGTATCCTCTGATCAACTAGTTATATAGTTGGTGGCGGTTATACCGGAGTACACCAAAATGAAAATAAGAGGAGAAATAAATTCCAATCAGTCCTTCTTACTACTTATTAGCAGCTTTTATGAGGTGCTTTGATGAGGTAGTAGGATAAAAATGAAAACCAGATTCAGTCTGGGGATTATAACAACACGTGACACTTTGTCCTTTAAAAACTCATTTACTTATATCTCATATTTCAATTGTGAGGTTTATTTATCCATATTACTCTTGACCTCCATTACAACAGAGAATGGGCTGAAAGAGTTATTTTCTGGGCCTAATTTTTAACATCTACTCAAGAGTTACCTTCACTGTTCTTTAAAAATTTTTCTATAATCTTACCTCCCAGTCCAAATAATCACAGACATCTTCAAAGTTAGTGAGCAGAGACACTGAGCAGAAAAGCCGTGGCAGCTCATCCCTTGTCATTGGGGGAAAACGGCTATCTTTAAGGGCACTGTTAAAAACAAAGCAAATATTAAAGCAATCACTGGATATAAAATTTCCAAATTTCAAATGCAAACAATTACTTGAAAAAGGTAAGCGTTTCAAAAAGAATCAGTAAAATGTCAAAGGTATCAATAAGCTTCAAATGTATTCAAAGTCCCCAAAGATTTTAGAAGTCACCTTTGGTTTTTCATTAAATAGATTGTGTTTGCTAGCCAATCTTGTGACCTCTTCAATTGTAAAGAGTGAATGATCAATTACATTTCCTGTACAGCCATTTCCTGGTGTCTTTCCCTGCTACTTGTAGAATATAAGAATGTTTTATTTTGCTTTTGAGAAGAATAAAAACTAGGCTAGTGGAAACTTGTAGGAAGATTTCAGAATCCAGTGCTGGTGGCAGCAAAAATAAATTATATATATGTATGTGTGTGTGTGTTTACATATACATATAAGTGCAAACGCACACACACACAAATATTGTTTTTAAAAAGATTACACTAGGTAAGCCAGTCACCATAGAACAGCACTCAAAGAATTCAAAGGAAGATGAAAATTTCATTTTCTTCAAGAAAAAAAAAAACAAAGAAAATGGAAATAATCATGCAAATTATAGACTAAAAATAAGAATTTCAGGCCCCCTATAAAGGATAATTTAACATATGACTCAAAAATTGTGGAACGACAGGAAATAGGGCTAATCTAGGAAATAAAAGTATGATTAGGAGACCATTAATCACGTCAATGAACTTCTGAGTGCATCAACTCTGATTGGATCCTATAATCAGGTATAGTATATCATAGTGCCAAACTCTAGAAAAACCCCACTGTAAAATGTGGAAAAACCATAATTCTTCCTACAGTGGAACAGAAACTACACACACACACACACACACACACACACACACACACACACACAGAGTTCCTTGTACTTTTAAAAGAAACCACTTCCTCATCAAGAAAAACAAACATACCTCTGATTGCCTACTATATTAATGGCACTATTGGCATTCATGATATCCATCTTCAAACGTCCTAGATAGTAGCCAGGCTTAGAAATACTTTCACAGATTAATCCTCAGAGGTTACAAACTCAGACTCTACAAACTGCTTGGGTCATAACATAGTTCCATAGCCTTGAAAATAATCTAATTCATTTTCCAGTGATTTTCTCATTGCTGAATTTTCTTTTTTTCATTTTCCCATCTCTTTGTTTGCATTTTGAAGCTCACTCACTGCGTTTGTATATTTGCAATGCACTTGGGTGCTCATTTTATCCTGCTATACAAAGGAAAATGCTTATAGGACGATATAGAGATGTTATACATGTATAAAAGTATAAATGTTTTTCCCACTCAAGAAGCCAATATTAACCAAGAAAATCAGGAAATCTGTGATAATTCATACTCTGAAAACAGCATTTCACTATTTTGTAATTTAATGATGTAAACTCCCTATGGTTTGGCTTCTTTCATTTTTCTACTGACAAAAGTTTTAAAAAATACTTCCAAGTTTTCATTCAAATCCAAGATAAAGACATGTGTGTATATATTCCACCACCCTCTCCACATACAGGAAAGTTCTAAAACACAGACCAGGAGAATTGTATGCATAAAAAACAAAAGGCCAATCACATTTTCAGTTTTACTGTTAAAAGAAGAAAAAGAGAGGAAAAGACACGTTATTCATTATAATAATATAAAATGTAATTTTAGGGAGTTATGGATTTTTATTATGGTAAAATATACACAAAATTAGTATTTTAATCATTGGTAAGTATATAGTTCTGTAAAATTAAATATATTTGTAGTGCATCTATCGCTACCTTCCATCTCCAGATCTTTTTCATCTTTCCAAACTGAAACTCTGTACCCATCAAATACTAACTCCCCATTCCCCCCTCCCCTAGTCCTGGTATAAAATGTAATTTAAATATACTTTTATAATTTCAAATAGTTACAGTAATACAACACTAATGTTTTTAATCCATAACAGTTTTATTGAGATATAATTCACATACGACAAAATTCACCCATGCCTTTTAGTATATTCACAGTTGTACAACCATCACCATTACTCAATATTAGGACATTTTCATTATCCTTGAAAGAATCTGTATACCCAATAGCAGTCACTGCGTATTAGCACCACTCCCAGCTCCTGGAAACCATTAATCTACTTTGTTTCCATGGATTTGCCTATTCTGGACATTCTGTATTAATGAAATCATACAATATATTACCTTTAGTGTCTGGCTTCTTTCACTCAGCATATTTTAGATATTTCATCCATGTTGTAGCATGTATCAGTACTTCATTCTTTTCATTGCCTAATAATATTTCCTTGTAGTTTTGTTACCTATTCGTGGGTTGATGGACATTTGGGCTATTTGCACTTTTTGGCTATTATGAATAATGCTCCTAGGGACACTGATGTATAAGTTTTAATGTGGGTATATGTTTTCATTTCTCTTGGGTAGATAGCTAACAGTGGAACTGCTGGATCATAAAGGTAATTCTACCTTTAACTTTTTGAGGAACCAACAAACTATTTCTCACAATGGCTGCACGATTCTACTTTCCCAGCAGCAATGTATGAATTCCAGTTTCTCCACGTCCTTACCAATGTTTGTTGTTGTTTGACCTTTTGAATACAGTGCTAGACCTCCTTTAATGAAGCACTTTTAGTACCTAGCTCTGGCTTTTTCATTTAAAAAATACACATGCTGAAGTAGCTATACAGTTAATTTCTCAATATTTTGAGGCAAGTTATCATTTTGTTTAGTTTCCTAGCAGACCAATTAAAGATAAGTTTAACTCAGTGCAATTCAAACTATTTCATATCAATGAAATTTTCAAATACTTAAAATATAACTGAGGATCAGGCTACAATGCTTTTCTTGTGACATGGAGCCTTGTTGTTCAATCATTCTAGGCTTAAGGAAAAAAAAAAGAATGTTTAGAACAAGGAGTTAGTGGGAAAATGGTAGAACAATTAATGGGATAAAATGACAATAGTGCCTCATCATGTCAAGATTCAAAGATACTGATTTCAAAGCTCTGAAAGAATAAAGGTATATTAGTCATGATGGAAATAGTTTGATTTTTACAGAGACATTTAAACAAGACTTTTGACTCTTGTATTTTTTAGCCAGCTCTAAGTATTTTTTCATTAAACTTATAAACACAGAAAAATTCCAAATGCAGGAAGCCCTCAGTGTCTCTAAATGTAAATTTCTAGGGAAATTAACTAGCAATCAAAGCCTAGCAAGGATTTAAGGGATTACAAAAAGATGAAAATGCAGCTGGAGACTGACCTCAGAGCTGCCAGGCTGGTGTGGAGAGCTGATAAACAACAAGATTCAGCTTTCCTTAACCAAGCTCTCTTTAGAATATGCTATGCTGAAATTGTGCTTTTAGAGAGAATATTGCAATCTGGAGTTGGGCAGTGACTTGCTCAAGGTGACCCAGCTAAGTTAATGGCAAGGGTAGGGATACAACCAAGATTTTCTTACTGAAGTCCAAAATTCTTTCTAGTACCTACACTTTAGTTGTCACCTTTGCATGGATTAGTTTTCAAATTTTAAAATTAAATGCTTGCCTTACCTGGCAATTCTGATCTCATACCTGTGGTACCGCTACCTAAAGATGAAAAGTAATAATTCAGTAGCATTCACTAGTAGCCAAAGGGTAAACAGAACTAGGCTTCCTGTCTACTGGAAATCTGCAGGAGTAAAACAGATTTTAAAATATTAATATTGTCAATAGAAGGCATTTTATATCAAAGTAGTATCTGCCAATTTAAATTCTAGGCAGCCTAAATAACTGACAAGGGGGTCCTGTAAGTAAATTAATATGAATTTCTCTTTGTTAGAATAGGAAATCATTTTCTAATGTTTAAATATTGCTAGAAAAACAAAACAAAACACTTACATATAAAACCAGTTGGCACTCCATCACCCATATGATGGATGGGTAAGCTTTAAAAACTTACAGTTTAGTTCACATACTAAATTCAAATATACTCAATTCAAATTGGTACCTTCTCAGGAATACACCTCACCTAATTGAGAAGGAGCATTAACATTTGCCAAACTTAATATATAATGTTATATAGTACTTTGGTAAAAAGGAACATTTTAAGAAAAGAAATTAAG